GTGTAAACGCCGGGCTCAAGGGAGCAACAGCGGCCGGTGTAAAAACGGAGAGAGCGGTTTTGTTTCACTTCACATACTCTGGTTGTCGTTGCGTAGCATTTCTCCAAAAGTTGATTCTGTTGCAATTTTGTTTTCCCAGAATCCCATATGGACCACCGCCACTTAAATGAAAGGGAAGACCGGTGTTTTCGGCGCTTCGACTTTTGGCCGTATTTTTATTACGGCGTCCAATGTGACGAACGGGGCATTAAATACACACTCGTGGGTGGAGATAAAAACGAATTACGGGAAAATCATGAGCTCACCCCCACAGTTCAACCGGAAATGATCCATTTGGACGCCCTGCACTTGACCACATGTTCTCTCCAATCGAATGGTTTTCGGTCAAGATGAGAATTGAGGCTGTGGACACATTTCAAACTGTCATCTGTCAGCTCTCCAAATGCTTGGTAATAACACTCAATTATGCATCCTGAATGACGTTGCTAGGTTACAGAGCTGGCTGAAGTGGCTGATGGGACCATCCAGCGGTCACTCACTATCACGGGCCGATCGAGGGTCCCCACTCAGCCACTTGGCAGCTTGAGTCTGAAACATGCTCTGAAATCCACATCTGGTGATTAGGATGTGCAAATCAGCTGCTGCCTGGAGGATTCAGGGTTTTGGTGACGGACCTAAAAAATCCTTCAGGGAAGTTTCACTGCTCATTTACTCCTCAAAAACGGCACTATTTAATATACATTATAGATTATCACATCATCGTTTGATCTGATTTCTGGTTTCCTAATTTGCACTGCATGAACACTTTATGTCCTCTGGACAGTATCTTTGTACGATGTATTTGTGTTTTTACTGCAGAGTTCAAAGAGTTTTTGCTGCATAGACTCTTTCCCCTTTCAGCATTTTTCTGCATATTCTTTGTTTTAAGTAGTGATTACATTACATTAATCTTAATGTTCTGTCTGGCTTTACTCATTAATTTTCATATTTGTGCCACTACATCTTTTACTTTCCATTCAGCAGTCTATTGCAGGCTCCCACCAGCAGCCACTGATTTCTTTGTCTCCACCTGCCTGATGCCTGTACCCTGCTGGGGGTCCTGACTCTTCCATGCAGACCCCTGAACTCTGATACGGTCTCGTGTCATCCCTGGCCGAGAGCACAACACCAATAGGTACAGGAAGATTTAGGGTTTTCATTAACAATTGTTTGATCCAGCGTGGACTCTACACCTCCTGTACACCTCACCTAGAATTCATGTAATGTTGTTGTGTTTTAGGATGTGTCCTTCAGAAATAGAATACATTAAACTCTGAATTATGACGATAATATCCTAAATCCTAATTTGTGCTTTTTGAAACAAAAAATGTTTCGTGAGATAAATAATTGAACTGATCTGATATCTGTTCCCGAAGCCAAGTCACATTGTTTTTTTCTTCAGCTTACTCGTCTTTTGTTGCTCACCGAGCTGTTTATTTAAAAAAAACCTGACAGCCTGAAAAACCCTGAAACAGACTCCTACGCGCGGAATACCTTGGTGATAATGACTCACACAGGGATGATGTGTGTTTGGAGCAAAGACAGACGGAAAGGAGCACACACACAACACACACACACACACTCATTCTGCATTCACGTGCTCCTCGGATGGTCCCATTTCAAGAGTCGAAAAGTCGACTTCGGTGTGTTCACAAGCTTAACGTCGTAATGTGGAAATGTCGTGTAAGAAGTTGTGTTGTATTTTATTGCTCAGACTGTTGAAACAACACGTCGATAGCTGTATTCAGTATTTGCGTGACAACGAAGAGCAAAGGAAACGGATCAGGTGAGCCATGACATTTATTTAGATTACAACCTAATACCATAATGTGAAAAATGTACATGCAATACGTGAATAAACAAAAACTTTCTTACCATCAACCCAACATTTACTTCCATCTGCTATAATTCTGCCTAATAAGACGTCATCTTAGCAAGCCGTGTACCAAACTGTCCACTTTCTTTGTTGCTCAGACTTGAGGGGGCATTCACGTTAATTTCCCCCTTTGGCAACTCATTTTTTTTTCATTATTCCAGCACTACATGAATGCAGCATCACACTCAGTCACTTCCTCCACCTGTTTTTATCGTGTAAGGATCTTTTTTGTCCACCTCCTAAGTACACCCCACAAACATAAATGCAGAAACATAACCAAGAGCGCAAATGTTCATATATGTAAAATCACACGCTGAACAGACTCATCTCCCAAATTACCAAACAAAACACACACACACACACACACACACACACACACACACACACACACACATTTTTAGCAAAACAATCAGCTGTTCCTACTGTTCCTGCAGTGACCCGGGGATCTCTAACAAGACTGCCATATGTAAAACTTTCCATCCTCTGCTGTGGGGGTGTTAAGCCACCGCAGACTACATTCAAACAGCTGCCTGCACAGAGCCTGATATACTAAGAAACATAAAGTATTGCTGCACAGTCAAACATTATTGAAACCCACCCAGAGTTCTCATTTGTGCATCACGAAGTTTACCAATCATGCCAGGCTGAGTTTTAGGTAATTGTGTCTCAAATGATATAACAGACATCTAGAAAAATATATGTAGTAGTATAAAAACACGGATTTGAATATTTCACCCAGCGTGAACATTATAAAGCTTCAATGGAGAGCTGGAACTTGACGATGGAGAACATGTGTGTTACCGTGAGACAGAGTGGAACAGGATGATTTAATTTCTTTGAAACCTGTTAACACAGTGTTAAGTGTACACCTATGTTCTGTACACAACTGCTATGGGTTGATATAGGTTGATGCAACATGTCTTTGGAAAGCTAAAATTGTTGTGATTCGATTGATGCAAACCATTTCAAGATACAATCACAACAGCAGGTACAATCAACGCCTGTCAGACCACCAACCAACAAACAAACATTTACAACATTGAGACAACTCACCTATGAAGCCTCATAGTATTCCACCCATCGATAATATTCAGACAAAAACGGTCTTGTTACATTGCCAAAGGTCCAGACGATCCAATCCAGTAAAACATTTAGTCCAAAACACATTATTACATCAATAAATACCCACGGACCAACCGATCGTTCTGATGACTGACGCTTCGTATAGCCAATGAAATTTCAAAAATGACGATATACAGCTTCAGGGGTTAGATTTACAGCCACAACACGGAAGTAACTGCGTAATCGCGAGTCTGCTCAATGTGACCGTGCGTAGAATGCGAAGTGTGGTTTTGGAGACTTTAGGAAAGTGAATAATGGTGAAATAACTTATAAATGATTGTATTTCGACATAAATAAGCTTTAGTTTGAATTATGAATACACATTTTAACACAGCCTAGGTATGTTACCATGTTTACCATGGGTCTCCAAATGGCCTTTTTTGGAAATCGCATAGACCAGCGGTTCTAGGCGTGGCCTAAACTTTTTTTTTTGCCACGCACCCCCTTCTACATCCCGACCGGGTTCACGCACCCCCAATCCCCCACACCTTAAAAAAAAAAAGCAACAGAGCCTATTTATAGTCGCATAAAAATCGGACCAATGAGAGAACAGTTTGCTCGCGCGTGGCGTTTGTTTACAAGATAAAAAACACAAAAAAAAACAAAAAAACTTCCTGCACCGTGCCTTCGAAAAGGTAACGGACATACACCAGAAGATTGGCCAGATTGGCCACATCTGTAGTTGGACACTGGGATCATGTCCAACTTGTTTGCTTCTCTCTCTCCAATCATACATTCCACCATCTCTTTGGCAGCTGGCAAGCACACGTCTTCGGCGATTGTGTGTGGTAGCCCCTTTCTTGCTATTCTGTGACCAGATATGAAGCCCGTAGTGCGTTTTTTGTAGCCCCAACACATGAATGAGACTGCAGTTGTTTTGGGCTGTTTTGTAACTCCTCCAATTTCGATATAAAAAATGTAAGGGGCTTTTGACTTGCACTGGCATGCTTGGTGTTCAGGTGGCGACGTAAATAAGAGGGCTTCAGACAGCTGTTAGCCAGAACCTCACTGCACCAGGCATGACTGCACCATTAGACCACCATTACATTTTTCCTCTCGCGCACCCCCTAGAGGCAGCTCGCGCACCCCCAGGGGTGCACCACACTTTGGGAATCCCTGGCCTAGACATATCCTTCGAAATGTATAAAATATTCACTTTCTGTGGTATTGTCAGGCTTCATGCTGTGGTCCCATTGTGTTTTCCAGCTAATAAGTCCCAGCTATAGTCATCTGCAGGCATCTGTTTGCAAATAAATATTCAGGCGGAAATAAAAACCTTCTACTTCAGTGTGTTCAAACTTCTGTTACTCAATGCCAGTAGCACTTACAGTGATTCTGACTGTTGGGGGACCATGCATGTACTCCACATGGTTCAAGAACAGCTTTCAATTTACTTTGGGTATACCTTGGATAGACGTTTTAGGCTAATTTTACTGATGAAGACAATGTGCTATTTACAGGGATTTAAATCCATGGGATGTAAATTGAAAATAATCTCTATTCATCAAAGCATCCAGCCTCGTCAGCCACCACGCAGTAACTGGATTTCTATACTAAATGTTCCCTTGGAAAGATGCACCACTCTTTTTCTCCCTATAAGCCATTGTCATTTACAAGCGCTCTTTCCTACAATTGACGGATTACTCTAAAAAAATCCATTGTTTAATATGTAGTGTTTATGATGGAACTCCACTGCACACAGCAGAGAGGGAAATGTGTTTCACGCAGGTCTTTGTTTCTCAAAGGTTTACTCATGATCCACTGCTGGTTTCAGTATATCGATGTCTTACTCTGGATCCTCTGAGCTGGAAAGCTATTGTCTTACATTCTGACTGGTCCTCTTCTTCTGTCTGAACTCGTGTTTTATAGATAAAGGAGAAAAGCTTGGACGTGCAGATCAGTTTTTTCTTGTCAAGGGACACTATCTTTGTAACCTACAGCAGCCACACCCCCACTATCTTACCTGTAAATGAGGATGTCATCTGAGGAGCTGTTGTACTGGATCTGGTACATGCGGACTCCTGGTATGTGGTTCTGTGGGGGCCATCTGATGGTGGCAGAGCTGGACGATAGATCTGATACACTGACCCTCTGCTGATCAGACCGTGCCTGACCGCCGCTCGCGTTGGACTTGATGGATGTGGGGATGTCCGAAGGCCCCGGGTCGGGGTCCAGTTTTGGGTCAAAGTGTGGCGAGGGGTTGACGACCAACTCAACAGGAGCAGTGGCCTCCCCGGCTGCGTTGGACGCTATGCATGTGAACTTTCCAGAATCCTAGAAATCATTGGAGAAGAAAAGACCCAAAATGTAACTTAGCTTTTACTTTTATAATAAACAGACTTTGAATCTTTTATTCACTTAATTCCGGACAGAATTTGGGGAGTTAAATACTCATTTGAACAAAGACAAAGTGGATAAACTCTGACAAATCTAGTAAAACAAAGATTTTATAGGTTGCAAGCTAACAGCTGACCATTTAATATGTTAATGTCCCTGCTAAATGCAGGCAGGAATAGCATTTGCAGTTCTTGATGTTGTGCTTCAATTTAATAGCTGTTACTTCAATCTGAAGTAATTTATTTATACGTTCCATCTCTTCCTTATATGCCATTATTTATGTTCATCTTCAATGTTGTTCTGTAAAATAAAAACGGACAAAAATATTAATAATAATTTAACTTATTAAGGTTGAATACCCTTTGCACACACTTTGAGTACAAAATCACTAACTTCTATTTCCACCTCTTTCGTGTGCATCACTCAGACCAGTGATTCTCAACTGGTGGGTCGCGACCCAAAAGTGGGTCGCGGACCCGTTTTCAGTGGGTCGCGGGCCTTTGCCTGACAAAAAAAAATAAAATGTGATTTTATTTTGAAGGGCATTTTTTATGCAGCGGAATTATTCCAGCATTTACGGCACTTGTTCAGCAGTGCAGGAAAAACACCGACCAATGCGTTGTGAATCACATCACGTGATGCAGCTCAGCCAATCAAATATGGGTATTCTGACGAGTTTCCTGACTTGAGTGAGATGTACACACACCTTGACACAAGGGGGAGAGACGATAGAGAGCAGAGCAGGACTGTTGAAGTGAGAGTTGTGAAAGTCAAGTCATAGAATGAGTTCCAAAAGAGAAAAATGTCCAGAGAGACCAGAGTCATTAGACTCTGACTGGACAGACTCGTATAAGTGAATTCTTCAAACACTCATTTCTCTTTTTAGTAGATGAGAAAAATATAATATTGTGGCTTTTTCACTTCACCCTGAATTAACTGAATTTAAAGCTGCAGGGCAATTCAGTGAAAATAACTTTTCTAAAATGAATTTCATTACGTAATTTATTTTTTAATCCAGCTGTTATTTTACTTGAAATTAGAAGAACATTTATTTATGTATTTCTATGTATTATTTATATTCCATCCAGTTAAATTTGAAAAACGAGAATAATATTTGTTAAAATATAATTGATGTGTACTTTCTTTATTTGATTTGGCAGTTGTTTACTACACAAAGACATTACTACTACTAGACTTCTTGAATATAGATATACCCAAATTATATATATATATATAAATAATTTGGGTCGTGGGTCGCGGCTTGTCATTAAGGGGTGATGGTGGGTCACGCAGCCAAACCAGTTGAGAACCACTGACAGACAGTTATGCTCAAATGTATTTGTCTCTTTATTACGCAAACGGTGAGTGAGTATAGGATGAGGGGTATTTACTGTATGTCTTCATGTGCTGAAAAAACTAAATGTCCAATCAATATATTTGTAAATATTATTTTTCTAATCTCTCCAAAAATCACTTCTGTCAAAATGAGTTGTTTTAATTAACTTTATAAATGTCTAAAACTTTACACACAAAACATTACTCATTGGATTAGAAGTTTTGGGTATTTGAATCTGTGCGATGAAACTTCAACTTTCGACTTTATTGCACTCGTCATACAGGTACATACATGACATTTGACCTCTGCATTTAAGCATAAGGAGCAGTGGGCTTCAGTGAAGCTGCAGTGGAGCCGCCTCAGAACCAAATAGTTAAAAGAAAACCGACTCTACCCTCTGACCTACAGCTGCCCCAAAATAGAAAGCATAGAAAATTGACCAACACTTTTAGAAATAATCAACACAAGCATAACCAAATTCTGACAATGAAACCCCATCTCTACCTTCACCGAGGCCTTGAGGATGTCCAGCGAGCCGTTCTCGTAGCAGACGGTTCTGGACGTGTTGCCGATCAGCTTTCCTTCAGGACTGACCCAATGCGTGGACGGCTCCGGATCCCCGATGGACTTGCAGCGCAAGCTGACCTCCTGACCCTCCATCACAAACATCTTGGACGTGTGGCGAGTTATCATCGGTGGCTCGCAAACAAACTCCTCCTGTTGAGGGACATCAGACCAAAAACATATGTCACAATATTTGAATGGCTTAAAAAACAAGATGTGGAACGTATAGTTATAGAGTTCACTCCACAAACTCTATTATAAACAGCTGCAGTAAAGGTGCAGTACTATCAAGAGGAGTGATTATTTAAAGACTTCTAAAGTGCAGTTTATGGTTTTACAAAAAAAAACAAGTGAGATAAAATATCCAAGAAAACATGTCGGAACAAATGAAGAAGTCAGTTTTCTGTGCACAGAGCCCCTTACTGGCTTCCAGCGGTGTGTTCTTCCAACAGTAGACTCTCAGAAGGAGTTCTATTGTGTGCAAATGGAGATTAAGTGAGTTCAGCCCTCGCAATATTTAAAACCCACCCACTGGCACCCAATCCCAAATAAAGCCAGCCAAAGCCCTGGTGGAGTATTATTGCGAGGCCATGCAGGGCCTGCCAAGGCTTACCAGGGCTTACTCATCATTCCTACCACTCAGTGCATCTTCAAAAAAACCTTTTCTGGGTCCTCCTTGGGTCCTGTAACCAGCAGAGAAGATTACTGACCTGATGACCACTGGGCTGTAGCTTCAAATGCAGCACCAGTGCCTTTCAGTCTTGTATTACATTCTAACCCTCAATTGCTCCCGTGAAGCTCAGACTAAAAAGGGCAGTGATTGAACCACGCTGCGCCCTGATGTGAGTGTGTGGAAGTGTGAAAGTAAGAGTGTGTGAAGGAGTGTATGAAGTGCTCATCTGTTCTTAATATCTGTTTTGTCTAGTTAACCCCTTCAAATGCCAACCAGATTCAACTCTCCCTTCCATTTCATGAGGATCTAACCTTTCAGATTTTTGAACTTCCTGTCGGAGAGGAAGCGGTGCAGCTTTCATCGATTTCAAAGCAGGAGTTCCCTTGGCGGCTGACGGTTAATGTCTGACTGCTGACGGATGCAGTGGAGGCCCACATGTCCTTGCAGTGGGAAAGAGGCTATTAACTCTCTGAGTGTTAATATGCCTGGACACTTAGGTGACACAGGGGTCTCTGGATCGAACTCTCTACAAGGCTAATCCTCTTATAGTGATCCTACAGCACCTCTCTGAGGGACGCCCACAACTATTACTCGAGGTGAGGCAAAGGTCTGTACATCAACCTCTCGGAGATGATACCAATTAATCCCATCTTTATCTCACGGTGCACCTCCACTTATCATTGAAGAGGGGTCGGCTCCTGGAGATCTCCAGGTGAGGGATCCCCCTCTATATCCTTCTCTTTAAGGTAACATGTCCTTCTGTTATCTCTCCAAGTATCAGTAAAGCTCTGCAACCCGTGTGGAAGTAGCTTCCAAGCAGGTGAAGAGCAGATTTCTCAGCGGCTCCTCGACCTTTAGTCCCACAGCTAAGATATGCGATATAAGGTATGCGATATAAGATATGCGATGTAAGGTATGCGATATAAGGTATGCGATATAAGGTATGCGATATAAGG